CTAGCGAGAACAGCTTTAGGTCCAGCTTCGTCAATGTGCTGACCTTGAAGAAACATGTGTCAACTCTCGATAGCCTGGTAAAGTCGATAAGGATGGCGAATCCCCTCCTGATAACCAGCGTCAATAATAGGATGTGAAATCTGCAGTGCATTGTGCAAATACGCTGCATTTGAAAAGAATATTCACATTTTAGGGAACATATCAAAAAAAAAAAGAGTAAGTTACATATGCATCAGAGAGGATAATAGATTACATCTGCATGTTCGCTGAACATCCTGATGGTCATGGAAACACGCGGTTCATCCAGTGTTGCTCGACATATAGTGCGTGATATCTTATACCAATCCATGTAACCCCGGTACACATTGCCAAGGCTGACGAACTGGTGTGCTTCTCCGTTGCGCAGACAACACGTGGTAATCCAAGCCTCCCACATCCTATCAAGTCAGTCTGTACATGACGGAGTTAGTCGTGCAGATATGTTGCCTTGTGCACCACGACTAGGAGCTAGCGGTGCATCTGGGATGGTTTGAACCCTGCCAAACTGCCTCAAAACTCCTATCTGGATTGATACGATTCGACAACGTCTAAGCACTTTAAGCAGTCCATGGTAGAACGTAACCGGGTTACATGGATGCCGGTCTCTGCAACTGTGGTATGGATCCCAAATAACCTGTAAACGTAAAAGTGTTTTTGCATTAAAGTAACATAAAGGGCAAGATAAATGGAAGTCTTCAAATTATCGTAGGATGATAAACTTACATCAGTAGCTACTAAACTGTCAACTCGGCTCGAAAAGATTTCAAATGGTCAATGGAGGAACTCGTCCTCTCTCCTAGATGCCCAATGGTACACATGTGGATGTCTCAGTGTAGCCCATGGTTCTGATGAGGTCGGAATCGCTCGGAAGTTGCTCATAAATCCACGCCTCCAAAAGAGTCATAAATCCACTCGCCTCCAAAAGAGTCATATAACCACCCATCTGCTTAACCCCCAGACCGGCTAGCAAACCCCAACTGTCGATATAAAATTGTAAAAACCCTCACCTTACTCTTGTCATACTTGTCATACATTCCTGCATGATCCTGCCGTTGTTATTTTGTTTTGAAGGTTTTATCTTGCCTTGATTTGCTTAAGGTTGCTTGCATATTTTGATCCTTGCATGGTGTGTGTGTGTGGCCGGGGTCTCTCTTGAGCTTAGTTCGCCTTTGAACCTTTGTACTTAGAAACTGTTTTTGAGGACCTTGGTCGACCCCCACCTACACCTCAAAGGCATTTATTGCCGAGATGTTTTGCACCCAGTGAACCTTGTCTACAGGCAGCGTAGGGCCTAGGCCGAGATGTGGCACACCCTGGCCAAGGTGTGGCACAGCTAGTCCAGTGTCGTCCTCCCTAGCCGGTGTTTTGTTAATCCTATTGCCGGATTCCTTGATTTGAGCCGATGGTTATTTCTTGCCGATGTATCTTGCCGACTTGCTGCATACGCATTGTCAGAGACTTGTCTTATCAATCAATCACCTTTTTGAGCTGAACCAACCCTATAGCGCCACGCTATCCGAGCTGATTGTTAAAGACAGCCGGCAGGCCATTGAAACAAATCATTTTCTTGTCTCAAATCTTTGCCTTAGAGAGAGAAGCCTAGAGAGAAGGAAGAGAAGTTCTTGAGTGAGAGTAAGTCTTCCAAGCTTGATTTTGTGGTTTTGAACCGTTGGATTCGAGTTTTTGAGGTTAGGAATCTTGATCTACTATTGATTGTTGTTATTGATCATCTAGCTGCGATTACATAGATCGGAGCTCGTTTTGCATGTCATGCATCGATTTGAAGTGGTTTTGAAAAGAGAAAATGTTGTTTTTCATGTGTTCTTGAAGAAATTCTCGTTTGAACGAAAAGTTTGGAGACGAAGCTACGTTTTTGTGTTTGTTCTTGCATGACCTTCTTGTATGGTACCCAGGTCCATGTTTTGAACTCTATGACACGAAATCTCAGATTTTGTAACAAGTTTTGATCTTACATTCATCTTTCCTCATGATCATGTCAATCATATTCTTCAGCTGCTTTAAAGGGAAACCCAGGTTTCCCGGACTTTGCTTTTGTTGAGGCCAACGGGACGCACACCTCGGCAAGGAGTTGGACCTCGGCAAAGACCTGGTTGGTACCCAGTGTGTTTTCGTGGGACGGGAGCAGTGTTTAAACTCGCAGCATGTTTTGCTTTGATGTTTACTTGGATCTGTTAAGAATGCCGAGATCATTCGTATTATAGGTATAGCTCGTTTTGAGAATGTTGATTTGCCATGTGATTGTAGGACCTTGATCCTTGCTTTGAGTCTACACCTGAAGAACTAGGTGAGTGGTATTATTGATAAAAGCTATGTTATACTTGTTTTGATAAATCTTGCTTGCTTCGTTTTGACGAAAGTGTTTTGTTAAGCATGATGAAATGGCTCTGTTTTGATGTATCCAAGTATAATCCTGGTTTTGGTGTCATCTCTTGGAAAGTCCCTTGTGCTGGAGGACTTTAAACTTTCGCAGCACTAAGCATAAAAGGATACGGTCCTTGTAAATCGGCTACGAAGCCTAAGTAACACCCAGTTTTGCTATGTTAAATCGGGGCTACGGGCCTAAGTAACACAAGTCCCTTGTACTGGAGACTCTAAACTTTCGCCGTACCAAGTGCACAAGTCCCTGTAGCTTGAAGGACTCTAAACTTTCGCAGTACTAAGTGTAAAAGGATACGGTCCTTTCCTGAAAAGATTTCTATGTTAAATCGGGCTATGGGCCTAAGTAACACAAGTCCCTTGTACTGAAGGACTCTAAAACTTTCGCAGTACTAAGTGTAAAAGGATACGGTCCTTTCTTTAAAAGATTTCTATGTTAAATCGAGCTATGGGCCTAAGTAACACCAGTCCCTTATGCTGGAGGACTATAAACTTTCGCAGTTACCTTTGACTAAACGATTACGGATCATACAGCTCTTTGATACTTGAAAATACTTGATTGATGAATACGTTCATCCCTTGCTTCGCCGATGTTGTAATACTTGACTGATGAATACGGTTCATCCCTCGTTTTGCCGATGTCAGTAAGCATCCCCTGAGACTTGTAAGATTTGACAGATGGATACGGTTCATTCCCTTGTTCGATAAAGTTTTGACGAGTTTGTTTTTGAAAGACTTCGGCTATATTCATGCAAAAACCTTTATTTCTAGTACCATTCACTGAGTATCCGAGCTCACCCTCTCTATATATATGTAGGTGATGAGCAGGACGTGCGGCGACGCCTAGACTGTTTTGAAAAGCTTGTTTTGGATCCGTGCTTATGTCGGCTTTATTTTGCATTCATGTCGGCGAATCTTGAAAATCATGCTTCTTGACTTGTATTTACTGTATTTTGTGTAATGTCGGCTCGAGAAGCCTTGTATCAAGATGTAACAATATCTTGCTTTGTTGTATTCAAGTTGTAAGATGAATGACATTTCATTTGATCTATGCACAGCTCTTATGGACCACTTGTATTTGATTTATTTGCTTCCGCATTTGTGAGCCCCCTATATCTATACTCTGATTGTGTTTAGTTTTTTTTTGAAGTTGGCCTTCGGTAATTACGGATTACTGGCCATCACGGCACCAAACTACTAGGGGCGGTTTGGGGTCGTGACAAAAATGCTAATGCGCAGCACCCCAGGCATAAATATGTATGGATCCCAAATCCATCAACAAGCCGAGGTAAACAACGGGAAACCCTGCCGCCACTCTTGTCACTGAAGAGTGTACATCCCAACAGAAACAATAAATAAGCTCTTGCAGCGCACTGTATAGCCTCCTCGGGTTTGAATCTATGACACCAGCAAACTGACTTCGCAACCATTCAAGCCTGACTGAATTGCCACTAGCAGAAGAAACCTCATCATATGCTGCACGTTCAGTAATCCCCAAGCCATAAACGAGTAATGTAACTCCATGATGATCTGTCATATCTGGTATGCTGACTGATTTGCCTACAATGGGAAGGCCAAGAATATGCCAACATCATCCAGGGTCAAGGTCACTCACCAACTGTCATGTGAAATGTGTTCGTCTCAGGTTGCCATCTCTCAACAAAACATGAGACTAGAAGCTTGTTGACGAAACCGATAAGTGCAACGAGCTAACTGTGACAGTTCAGACTGCTCAATAAATGGCTTTGAATCTGGTGTTGTTCTCTACTAACCACCATGGCCATGCAAGGATCTTGGAAGAGTGATTATGACACTTTAGGGGCCCTCGTTCCTACAACACAAATGATATCTCATTACAAACTACCATACAACACAACGCATGCGGGATGCTAAAGCATAAATACTTACATCGTACTCTGTGCCAAAAAAAAAAAAACACTCATATACAAATGAATTTCAGTTTTACTGAGGAATGTTTACCTCCCCGTGCCAAATAGCTGCAGCCACATGACTATTGAAACTCCGCAGTATTGACGGATCATTCGGTCCACCTGGAAAAGCATGTGTAAGGTACTCTTCCTGGACAGGAGGAGAATCAGGTAAAGAGGTATCCTCCACACCAATGTCAGGCATATCATAACCTTCAACTCGTCTTTGGCTTCGGCCCCCACTTTGACTGGCACTGGGAATATCATATTCTACCGAAACTGGATCACGACCTCGACCACGACCTTGACCTCGTCCTCGCCCACGCCCTCGTCCCCATTGATGGTCTACATCCAATTCACGACGTCGTCTATTTGAAGCAGTAGGTGGGACACGTTGTTGATATTCAGAATCCATATTATTAGCAAAAAATACCAAGTGTGTGTAATGAGTGTGTGTGTAAATAAACATAGTGTGTGTAAAATTAATGAGAGTGTTTTAAATTCTAAGTGTGTGTGTAATGAGTGTGTGTGCAAAATTAATGAGAGTGTGTGTGTAAATAATAAGTGTTTTAAATTATAATGAGAGTGTGTGTAATGAGTGTTATAATTAAGTGTTATAATTAAGTGTTTTAATTAAGTGTTAGAAGGAAAAAAAAAAAAAATTTATTTTCTGTTCGGAAGTTGTTGTCCGAAAATACCTGTTCTGTTCGGAAGTTGTTGTCCGAAATTATAGCTCATATTCGGAAGTTGAAAACCGAAAAAAAAAAATTATTTTCGACACTTGAAAGTCGAACCAAGTCAATATTTTCGGAACTATAGTGCCGAATGGAAGCAGAAATTTCGGAACTCTAATGCCGAACAAAAACAAAAATTTCGCATAACCAGTTCCGAATGAAACACGGCAATCACAGTGGACTAAAAATTTCGAAAATGGTAAAAATTAATCCTACATTACAAATAAAATAGGAATGAGAAGATTCTAATCTGTGTAAACTAACCTAAAATGTGAAAATTTCAATGCTCTTCAATGCCCTTCAATGCCAAAACTTCAATGACACAAATGGATGGATGAAGCTTTTGGGGAGGAACGGTGGAGAGTGTGAGAGATGGGTGTGTGTGTGAAAGGGGTTCTCAGATGGGTGTGTGTGTCACGGGTGTGTGTGTGTGAGAGGGGGTGTGTGTATGATTTACATTTGGGGGTATATGTGGAATGATAGGTGTGTGTAGTGAGTCAAATATATTAGGATTTATTTTTTTAATGTGTGTATTAAGAAAGATTTGTATAGAGAGAAAATGGTGTGTGTATATAGAAGCTCCCCTCCTTCTTGTATCTGTCTCTGTGGCCTTGGCTTTGGACGACGACATAAAGAGAATTCTATTCAGCGAAGACCAAATCTCCTAACGAGTCTCCGATCTCGCCTCTCAGATCACCCATGACTTCACCACCAATGCCGTCTCTTCATCCCCGCCGGTCGTCGGCGTCGCCACCGGCGCCTTTCTGTTCCTAGCCGACCTCGCCAGAAAGATCAAACTTCCCCTCAACGTTGACTTCGTTCGAGCCGAGTCGTACGGCTCAGAAACTGTATCGAACGGCGCTCCGAGAATTTCTTTCGACTTGAAGATCGATATTCAGGGAAAGCACATCATTCTGGTACTGTTTATATCATTCAATTTCATTTTTAATTCTTTCGTAGCTGTTGTTTGGTATCTAATTGTGTGAAGATGAAGATTTTTTGTTTTCTGATTTTTTGGTTGCATAATGACTCGTGAAAGCGATTTCATTTTGTGACATTTGATTGACGTTTGCTTCTCTATTTATTTATTTTTTTAAATAACAAACATTTAGATCGAAAAGGGTTACTGCAATGCAATGTATCTTTATTCAATGAAATGAACCACCACATGACATGGGGAATGATCTGAGATTTTGTCAAATTAGGAGACAGTCTGGATGTATTATTTTTTGAAATTTCTAAGGGTTTTGTTAAGGCATACCTTTTAAGGCCAGAAATTATCATATGAGTTTGGAAGATGGGAAACACTATATATGCACCTAAAAAGGAAAATGGCATAACTTCAATCTAAAAAAAAAGAAAAAATTGTCATAACTAAATGACTAAAGAACTTATGAATCATAACTAAAATAATGTCATAACTAAATAAGAAATTTGGTTATAACTAAAGATAAAAACTGCATAATTAGGGGTGCATATGGTACACCTTTTTTACACGGGTGTATATTAGAATTTCCCTAGGAAGATACATGTTAAGAAGTTTTAAAAAAATTGTACATTTTGCATAAAAATGCATGCAATAAATGATATATAATATTTTTAAACCTCAAGGACACAAATTAACAAGACCAAGATTCTAAACTTCTTTACCAAGCTTATTTAGAAAGCTCTGGGAGGAGGGTATGTAGTAATGTGGGAATCAAAATTACAACCATCATACAAAGCCTTCCCAGGAGGAAGAGATATGGTTAATTTATGTTACTGGCAAGGTCCACACCTTGGAGTCGTGCCCCCAATCCCTTCTGCACCACTACCACCACCACCACAACAACAATAAAGATCAGAATATTATATAATGACAAAAGATTATTTCACATGGGTTACATTGAGACAAGAAAAATAAACGTGCAATTTGGATCAGTGATGGGGTGCATAGTTGTTCTTATTCTCAACATTTATGGGATTTGATATTATACTTGTATTTTTATTTTCTATTCAGCTTTGATATTCTTTCTTTGACATGTTACTTATGTTTTGGTTTTTCCTTGGCTCAAGTTGAGGACATTGTGGATACGGGAAACACTTTGTCTTGTCTTATTGCTCTTTTGAAATCCAGAGGAGTGTCCTCCGTATCGGTGTGTACCCTCCTTGATAAACCAGCAAGACGAAAGCTTAATTTTGAGCTTGTGGGTAAAGGAAAGTATTATTGTGGCTGTGAGGTACTCTCTCTCTCTCTCTCATATGCAATTGGTGGAACCTTTTCTAATTCCAAGTTTTACCATGTTTGATGTTTCAAACAATTGAAAACTGATATATTTGAAAATAGCTGCACAATTTACCTGCAGTAATATGTGGAGTACCAAGGACAAACTAATACATTTTATCAGCTAACTATGCTTTGCTGCCACATCATTGAGTTGCAGTGTGTTTCTGCTGGCAGGATCATATATCAGTTAAATTTAAAACTATGAATTCTTGCAGCCCAACATTTCTTGGTGTCGTACCTGAATTACCAAGTAGTTTATCTCCTCTGATTTTCTAGGCAATGATATCCTAGTTTGCCCGTTGAAATTTTTTCATTTTGCTAGTTTCAAGGCATCGTAAATTACAATTGCCATTCATGCATTTGAGGTTTGAACGGGTTGCATTCTTTATTTATGGCGGTTACTTATTATTTATATGTCATTTTATAACAGTCAATTACCACCATGTATGTGTTGTAAGTATTCAGAGGCACAACCTCCATTCAATAGTTTCAGGAAGTCAAATAGTCCATCTCTACTTTATCGCAATAGTTGTTAACTTGTTATAATGTTTTTGAGACATGGCCTTCTTTTTTCTGTGCTTGTATAGAACTTTTCTCTTTCCTGAGTTTAGATTATTTGACCTTTCTTCACTGAATTCTTGTACATTTTGACAACTATAACAGAAGAAGATGCTTTTTTCTCTTCACCCAGAATAACCAATCACATCTAATGGACTTTGAAGTAGTATTCCCAAAAATGATATGTAATTGATGGATTAAATCTTTGATTTTTCTTTTTTTTAGTTATTTTAATTGGGAAAGTTAAACAGCACTGAAGGATGTATATAATGCGCAAGCTCTGTTTACCCTGGCCAGACCCTTAAAATTTTTAAAGAAATTATCTTGACGTGCTTCAATTGGATGTGTTGTTGTGTAAGTTCAGTGTCTGGTTGGCAGAAACCTTTTAGGGAGTGTTTGATAACTGGATGAGCAGGTGAGGGATTGGGATAAGAAAAACATATGTGGGCCCCACATTCTCCCCCTTGCCCCTTGTTTAGTACAAAATATCTAATCCTAGGATAACCTTCTTATCACTCATATGGGGAATTAAATGAGGGATAACTAAGGGTCTAGGAGGAAAAGGGGGGTCATTAGAGAAATGTTGAAGTTACATCAACTGGATATAGTGTTTCTACAAGAAACAAAACATGAGACTCGTGATAGAAATCTTATTAAAAGCATATGGGGAGCTAGATTTAGGAAGTGGGGATACCTTCCATCGGTAGGAGTGTCAAGGGGTATTTTGATTATTTGGGATGAAAGAGTAGTGAGCGATTGTGAGACAATTTTGGGGGAGTTTCAATTTCAATTAGGTTTAGAAATTTAGATAGCAAGGAATGGTAGTTGTCGGGGTTTATGGCCCTAATAGTCCTTCTAGGAGAGGGGTTTGGTGGGAAGAGTTGGTTGGTTTGTATGGGTTGTGTTTACCAAATTGGTGTGTGGGTGGAGATTTTAATGTGGCAAGAACGGTGCCGGAAAAGCTCAATGACTCATTAGTTAATAGAGAGATGAGGGAGTTTGATAATTTTATTAGAGAGTGAAGTTTGGTGGATCCTCCTGTGTTCAACGCCAGGTTTACTTGGTCTAATCTTCAAGAGAATTTGGTTTGTTGCAGATTGGATCGATTCTTATTATCTTTGGCGTGGTCTGACTTGTTTCCAGAGGTGAGGCAATTAGCTCTCCCAAGGTTTATCTCAGATTACTGTCCGATTGTAGTCAAGAGCTTCCCATTCAAATGGGGACCTACACTGTTTAGATTTGAAAATGTGGCTAGAGCATCCTTCGTTTAGAGATAAATTCACCCTTTCGTGGAATGAATGCAATGTTTTAGGGAGGGTTTTAGGTTCATGAGGAAGTTGAAATTAATCAAGGAGAAGGTAAAGGAGTGGAATAGGGGCATATTTGGCAACTTGAATAGGCAAAAAGGACAAACCAGACAGCATGTCGGAGCAAGGAGGTGGGAATCCTCTACAGATGCAGCACCAGCACCAGCACCAGCACCAACAGGTACATTATTGTTCTCTATGTTGTCTCTAAGCGTTGTTTTTCACTTCTTCCTCCTCATGCTTTATGCATTTATATAATCAAGGGTCTTTGGCCTTGGAATTAGATCGAACATGACATACGCTTTGTAATTTTTAAAAATTCCAGCCTTGTTTGAAGGCTGATATAAAAAAAAACTTTAGCAAGAATTCCCAGTGACTGATCTACAAATGTCCATGTCTGTTAAGACTCTTGTGTTCTACTTTTGAATTTCATTGTCTCTCTAATGGTGTTGTATGTATTTTTGTTTTTATTTTAAATTAGTTGATGCATTGAAACGCCAACCAAGGCTTAAGATATGTGGCCAGCACACGAAATGGTATGGACCCATCTATTGTTCCTCAAGGTCTCATGGCTCCAATGATGCCATTGCCTTTTGATGTTTCGGGAATGTCAACGACTTTATTGGATGTTCATCGTCCTGGGCCAGTGCCTATGTCTTGCTTCTGCTCTGGCTTCTGCTACGCCAGAGAATCAGCGCATGGTGTGTTTTTTAATCTTGTCTCTTCATTTCAGCAATTTTTCCATGGCGTAAAAATCTGAAAATTATTTTGAAATGTTGGTTCTTGGTTCTGAATGTTTGCAATGGCCTTGTTGTCAAAATGACAGATGTTGGGGGAACAGCTATTTCCACTAGTGGAGAGGATTGAGCCTGACCATGCTGGAAAAGTGACAGGCATGTTGCTGGAGATGGACCAAACCGAGGTTCTCCATCTAATTGAGGCCCCAGATGCTCTGAAGAAGAAAGTTTCCAAGGATTTGGATGTCCTCCATTTAGCATCATCAGGACCCAATGTTGGTGATCAGCTCGGCTCATTGTCCTTGAACCAATGAAGCGAGCCCAATTTGGCATGGTATATACATTTCTTCTTTAATATATGCATATGCATTTGTAGAGGCCTAGTGTTATTTATTTTTAGGGTTCATGAGCTGCGATTGATTGATTGTGGAGTTTTCTCCTATAATTTCTAGAATCTGTTTCATTTTTGTGGGGGGTGGCAAATTGGTTGCTGAAATACTTTGTAGGGTTGGGATTTGGTATGGAGAGAGAGTTTGAAGATCTGGGAATTGGTATTAGGATTTTTTTTTTTTCAGTTTGTTTAGACTTTTCTGTCATTTTTAAAGTTTGTTCAGTTATCTTGGAGTTGGTTGGTATTCTTTTGACCTATAGTTGTTCTCAGCTATTATTTTGATCCTATTTATTAGTAGTTTATTAGCAGTTGTTCGAGGAACAGAAAAACTAATTCGGTTATTTGATTGGTTTGTCATATTGATTGCCTTTATAATCAGTGTCGGGATCCAAACCATTGATTGGTGTGGTGTTGTCGGTCTTCCGTGGGACACACCAACCAATCGATAGCTTGGAACTCGCGTGCGGTACTAGCCTATAAAAAAGGGTCCATTTTTAAATCCAAATGTTTCGTTCCGTGCAATGTTTTCTGTTGTTGATATATATATATATATATATATATTTTAATCAAAATTTGTTGATACGTTTTTTTAATCAAAATGTTGAAATGATGAGTCAGTTTAAATAATAGTTGTTAAGGTGTATAGATTTTGGAACACTATTTTATACTCTTACACATAACTATGGATGTGTAAAATAGTGTGTACCATATCTTTTAATTAACGTATAACTATGGTCTCAAGTAAGAGAATATTATTCTATTTAAATCAAAGCATTAATAACAAATTAATCAAAATAATAAATAAATAAATAAAAGATACTATTGTTGTAATAAAATAAATAAATGTATTAATATAACAAATTAATCAATAATAAAGATGATTATAAATAAACATTACAAACATAAAAATTATAAATAAAACCAATAAAAAATAACGCAACAGAGAATCTTGATTTTATTAAAATGAAAGATTTATTAAGATAGCTTGTAGTCCCTATCTTAAAAAAAAAAAAAAAGAGGAAATTTTCTTTTTAAGGACTCTAATATTGATTTTATAATATAAATGACATATAATATTTTCATAGGAATTAAGGTTTTTCAACATTTTTACACAGAAATTTCTTTGAGTCCGGCAAAATTTCTCCGAGTCAAATTTTGTGTGAAAATGTTGAGAAACTAATAAAAAAAATATATCTTGGACCTCTCTTACTATACAAAGTTAGAGAGGGATGTTTCACTAATTTTTCAAAAAAAAAAAAGAAAAAAGATAGCACTTGTATATAGTCTAAAAAATAACTTTGGCATATTGTTTTTATCAAAAGTTACGGATATAATTTTTGAGAGAATAAAAATAAATTAAACAATTAGAATAACCAAAAATACTAATTTTATTAAAAAGCAATATTTAAATAAAAAATTATATCATTTTAAAATCTAAAATATTAAATTACTCATTAAAGATATTTTAATAATAGTGATGTGTACTGGACTTTTTAATAATTTTTTTTGTTAATGTATTCTTCTATTTTTTGGAGACTTGTATTTAGAAATAAAAATAAATAAAATGAAAAATAAGAATAGATGTCACGATTTTTCAAAATAAATACATAATTAAAAAATCCATAAAGATAAGGGAAAATTACAACAACAAAAAAAAAACTTCAGGAAATGAAACCTTCAATTTTTTAATTTTATTAATTAACTTAAACCTTAATATTTTGATTTGTTTAATTTTAATAATTTTTTTAAAACTTTCGTTAAGTAAAATTAATACCCCCAAAAAAAATGTTCTAATCATTAAACTTAATGAAACATGATGATATTTTAGATATTTTATCTACACTAATGACTAAAATTTTTTTTTTCGTCAATTTTATTTAATAAAAATACTCAAATAAATTAAAAATTTTAAATTTAAATTTAAATTAACAAAATTAAAATTTTAAAAAAAAAAATCGATATGAAAGAACATGACAAAACCTCCCCCCCAACCAAAGATAGAGAAAACACAGTGACAGAAAAACTTATTCCAACATAGGGAAAACAAAAATTACAAAAACATAGAGAAAATTGGGTTTCAAACACAGGATGTAAAGAAAATTTGGTGGTTAAACAGAGTGACAGAAAAATTATGTTTCAACACAAGACACAAAAGCAAATTATGTGTTTCAACACAAAGAAAAACAGAGACAGAGAAATTTTATATTGCAACACAAAAAAAAAATTATAGAGACATGGAAAAAATAGCAAAAAGAGAGAAAAAAAAGAAGAGAGGAGACGAGAGAAGAGATTTAAAAACTCTTGCATCAGATTTATGCACAAACCAACAATAATGAAACAAAGTGACTGGATAGAAAGTAAAACATGCTAGATCTAGGGGTACAACTTGGGCGGGCTCAACCTAAACAACCCGAGCCCAGCCCGAATTTTTTTAGGACATGGACAAAATATTTTCAAATTTGGTACGGGCTTAGACAAAAATTCAGAAGCCCGAATTAAATTTGGGCGGGCTTGGACAAAGACGTCAAACAACCCGAGCAACCCGAAACCTGAATTATATATATATAGATATATAAAAATATTAAATATACATATAAATTATTAGCCATTACGTGATATTAAAGTAATTTATATTATTAAATTATATTGAATATATATTATATATACAAATAACATAAAATTTTACTTTTTTTCTTTTTATTCACTCATAAATTGTAAGGACTACTATAGTGGCATCTCTCTTACATTATATAAATTATTTATTTTGATGGTATTAATGATTTTCTATAAATAAAAAAAAATTGTAAATAGAGTCAACCTCAGGCTTGGACAGACAACCTCGGGTTACAATTCGGGCTTGGGCAGGTCTCAGCACAACTTGGGCTGGGCTTGGACAACCTCCCAACCCGCCCGAACCCACCCGAGTTGCATCCCTAACTAGATCTATACATAGATCGAAGAGAGGTTGTCAGTGATGGTAAATGACGGTAGTTAGATGAAGGTGGTAGAACGAACAGTGGTAGATGAATGCTGATGGATGCGGTGACGATGTCGAAGATTTAATAAAAGCTAGGTTATTGTTATCAATAGCCGGGTTTTTCTTATGACATCTTGTATTTTTTTTAGAGGTATGAAAGAAGATTTGGATTTCTATCAATAGTTGGTCCTTTCATATGATATCTTTTTTTTTTTACTTTTTTTTTTATTTTTAGAGATATGAAACAAGATTTTATTTTTTGGTTATAATTGGGTCTTTTGTATGATATCTTGTCATTTTTTGATATTGTTATGTTTGAAAAATCTAGAAATTCCCTAGATGTTGATTTGTGATTATGTATCAATTTTAAACAGTATATAACAATCTCAATCAAACAATCAAGACAAATCGACACAACAATTTTACGTGGAAAAACCACAATTGGACACCTCCAATTGTGATAAAAAAAACCACGGGCAAAAGCCACAAAACAATCCACTAAAAAGACATAAAGGAATTACACAGGTATACTCTCAATTACCTAGCGAATTCACGCCCGAATTGAACCAACTCCTATGTGCCTCTTCCAACCTCGTCTTCACCTCGAAATTGTCTTGACGATGAGCCACTCCAGAATTCACCAAAGCTTCAGGCTCGAATTTTTTAGAATCTACCGAAGAATAACTTTCTCTTTTGTGTAGAACAAACAAATAATCCTTTGATGTATACTCTTTAAACCATGAGTTGAATAATCAATCAAAACATCAAAGAAAACTAGCAAAATATCCCCAGATATAAACCCTAGAACCCAAGAAGAAGATCTGGAGGCGTAACCCTAGATTTGGACTGAAACAGCTATTTATAGAAAACTGTCTCGCGATCTCCGCTCGAGCGTCAGATTGGCCGCTCGAGCGGACCTACGCTCGAGCACGGGAAATCCCGCTCGAGCGGGAAAAAACATCTTGCAGTATTTTTGTAGACAATCAAACTTCTGGAACCAGGGATTCTCTATGCATTTTTGCATTTTGCTTCGGGGGCGCTGCCCCTCGACCCCGCCTGGGCGCTGTCCCGGACCCACCAAGGGGCGCTGCCCCCTCGACCCCCGCGAGCTGACCGGGCAGCTCGATCCCCATCATAATCAGCGAAGTGGCAATCTTGAAAGCATTAGCATCACAAACTTCTCTGCAAGGCACAATTCAGATTGGATTCGCATCTAAAAACTCATAGTCTCACTGAAATAAAAAGTGCGAAAATAAATTACAACTCAAAGGAGTTTTGTCAAACGGGATTGCCAAGAATAAAAACCTAACAATGTTTGAGGACAATTAATAATTTTAAATTAATCTTGTGATGTTTGGTGGAAACAATCCTAGAAATATAAAAAGAAGACTTGATTGTTGCCATCAATAGTTGGGTATTTCACATGATATCAGATATTTTTTTATTGATACTAGTATATTCTTAGAATTTTATCTGATAAAAGCACTTCTTCAGATACTCTTATTGGTAAAAATGGATCGTTTTTCTTTTTTTATGTTGTTATGTTGCAGGACAATTTAATATTTTTAAATAAATCTATTGTGATGTTCGTGGAAACAATCTTAGATACTTGGTCGTTGCTAGTCCTCCAAGAGAGAAATATAAATAAGAAAGTGTTAGGAATGAGAAAGAAATAGCAAGGATTGACCCGTTGATTATCACGATGTAGACATAAAGGAATTTGATCCACTCTATTCTTATTATGTAATAGATGATTTTCATTTCAAATTTAATAATTATAAAATAAGAATGTAAATTTATAATTATTTTAAATTAAAAAATATCTTTCTAATTATCATTAAATGATATAATGAAATACCTCAATTATAAAAATGTAATGAAATAAATCACAATTCAATAAAAAGTGACATAAGAAAGTGCGAGATGTGATGATGGGTAGTTGTTTATATAATTAAAAAAAAAAAAGACAAAATATGATATATTGTGTATCTTTTATTTTAAAATAAAATATTTATAATAATAAATTTATTTATAAAATTGGCATTGTTATATTATCTTTATACAAATTTTAGGATAAATTATATAAATGGTCCCTATAATTTTTACCATGTGTCAATTTAGTCTATATTGTTTTAATTTGCTCCATTTTCTCTCTTAATTTAACGGATTGTGTCATATTAATTCAATAAATAACGGCTATTAGGTTTAGTAAACGAAAAGTCAAACAATATATCAATTTGGTCATTGTTAAAATTGAGTAAATTAAAATAATAAGGATTAAATTGATACATTATTTAAGCATGTAACGAGTTGACGTAGGTGAACTCGGTTATCTGGCTAAAGAAGGTGTAGGTGACGCAGTCAACAACGGCACGATGCTTGAGCTTGAGTGCTCGTCGACAAAGCCAACCGTGTCGGTGATAGTAGTGGATAGCGGTGATTTCTAGAAAGAGAGAGACGCTTGGGTTTGGTTTCAAAGTAATGGATTTAACAAATAAATTTGTAAGAAATGGGTATTTTAATCATTCTGCATTGTCTTGTCCTCATGGATATAATAAAGTAGTCCTTGGGTTTTTGACAAAATAAATTCAAATATGAATTTTTGAACAGAGCAACCCAAAAAAATATTAAATATATTATTATTATTATTATTATTTTTTAAATCCGTATTGTAGTGAGAAGGGTTCTATACGAAAAGGAGTCAAGAAGAAATTTTTTTTTGAAAAGATAGTTGAAAGTTAGTTTTTTTTATTATTATTATTTTATATGAGAAGTAATATAACTCAAAATGGGTTAAAAAGTTGACTTTTGACTTTTAATTCATGTTTTCAAATGACCCCTCAATACTCTTAGGATGTTTGATTGACAGGATTAATTGAAAAAAATATTTGAAAAAATAGTTAATTGGAAAAAAAAAATATTTGAAAAAAAATTAATTAAAAAAAATTATTTGAAAATAAATTATTTGAAAAAAAAATTGAAAACTAACAACGTAAACTTATTTTTTGAGTTTACATTTTTTCTCAAATTTATAAACTGAGACAATCATTTATAAATCAAAGCAATTATCAAACAAGTTTTTATGACAATTTTTTAAATTTTTTTAAATATAAACTGAAAATTAAAAACAGAAGGGTTATCAAATAGACCCTTATTATATATTTTGGGATCTCCAAAATTTGTGATCCTACAACCTCTAATTAATTTATAACCATTTATTATTTATTTATGAGCAATACTAGGTATCATGAAAAAATTTTCATAAAAATGATCATTAAGGATTTATGACCCTTGAATTACACTTAAAATAAAGTACCATACACTAATCAAGGTAATCCAAAGGTCACAAATCTTTCATGATCCTTAATTTTTTTCTTTATTTATTTTTTCGTTCTCTCTCTCTCTCCTCACTTTCTCTCACAAAATGTGTGGCCTTTCCCTCACAAAATATGTCGGGTGTGAGGTCCTGAGGTCTGTATCAAGGTTCTAAATCGCGGTATCGGGTAACATAACGGTATCGATCGCGGAGTATCGGTATCGGTAGTATCGATCGGTACGCATCGGGAATCGGGTGTCGCGGTGGTGAAATTTTAAAAATCATTTCAAAGGTTTTTTAACTTTTTCTTTCCCGTACCGGTCCGAACCGGTGAGTATCGGCCCGTCGCGGCTTGTGTAACGCTTACAGGCCGATACGTACCGGGACTCGGCCGATACTCTTGCGATTTTTAATCTCAGTGGTATATCGGCCTGTATCCGTCGCGGCACCCCATTTTTCCGATACATATCGGCCGATACGTAGCGTATCGGCCGATATTTAGAACTATGGTCTGTATCACCGCTGATATTTTTTTATTTTTAACTTTACTCTCACTCCACAGATGAGATCCCTCCAAAGCCCATAAAATAAGATGGAGGAGCTTGCAATTTGCAAATGACTCTTTTCATACTTTTGGCCGAATAACTATTCTCTTACACTGTTTACAATTGATTTTGATCTCTAATCTAATTTTGGTTTGATCATCCATGGCATTTGAAAGAAGCTTAGATCATTGTTCTTCTTCTTCATCATCTTCGACACAATCTCGCTGGAGCTATGACGTGTTCTTGAGTTTTAGAGGTGAAAATACCCGCAAAAACTTTACTGATCATCTCTACGAGGCCTTGGTTCAAGCTGGAATTCACACCTTCAGGGATGATGATGAACTTCCAAGAGGACGTGAAATTTCTCCGGAGCTTCTCAAATCAATCCAAGGATCCAGGATCTCCATCGTTGTTCTCTCAAGAAACTATGCTTCTTCCAGATGGTGCCTTGATGAGCTTGTGAAGATCATTGAATGCAAGAAAACACTTGGACAATTACTTGTCCCAATATTCTACGATGTTGATCCATCTGATGTACGCCACCAAACTGGGTATTTTGGAGAAACATTTGGAAGACACGAAAAGCATTATGTGGATGAGATGGAGAAGGTGGAGGTGAGGAGAGCTGCCCTCTCTGAAGCTGCTAATTTGTCAGGGTGGGATTTGCAAAATGTTGCAAATGGGTGATCTTTATTAACATCCTTTTTATTTTTTGATGCTGCAGCTATCAATTTTTATCCTTAAGTAGAAAGAAAACCCTACCATGTTGATCCTTGTTGTTTTTACAATTGTGTATTTTAATACTTATTGAGAATTTTATTTATGGATTTGATTGAAAAAAATTCAATTTTTTTGTTTAATACATGTTTATCTTTTATTAAAACTGACTTACAATGCTTTCGTCAGTAATTTTATTTAAGTCTGTCTTGGTTATAAAAACGAAATGAGTGTTGTGCTCTGATTCATGCATATATGGAATATTTACTCCAAAATCAAGTTCAAGGCAAATATAATGCATACATACCAAAGTGCTTACCACACACTTACATTCTAGACTATATGCATACATATACAACTTGATTGTTTCATTGCACTATAAGTATAAATAGTTCACTTTGTAACTTCAAGATGTTTTGAATTTTACATTTCTTAACTTCATATTGGGAGTGAGTTTTGTAAGGTCTTGTACTTGTATTGTATACTTGCTTCACTTTTTATTTGGATTGAAATTGACAAGCATGAAGCAAAGTTGATCAAAAAAATTGTTGAAGAGGTTTTATGTGAACTGAAACACACATTCCTAAATGTTGTTGTGCACCCAGTTGGAATAGATTCTCGTGTTGAACACATAAAGTCGTTGTTGTGCACCCAGTTGGAATAGATTCTCGTGTTGAACACATAAAGTCGTTGTTGAGCATTGGATCAGATGATGTTCGCATGATTGGGATATACGGTTTGGGTGGAATAGGCAAAACGACCATTGCAAAAGTTGTGTATAACCATATTTTTCGCCAATTTGAAGGGAGTTGTTTTCTTGCAGATGTTAGAGAATGTGCAGGACAATTCAATGGTCTATGTCAATTGCAAGAACAACTTCTCTTTGAATTATTAGGGATAAAGAATCTAAAAATTGGCAGTGCTGATAGAGGAAAGAATTTGATAAAAGAAAGGCTCCACTCTAAAAGGGTTCTCATTGTTCTTGATGATGTGGATCAATTAAGTAAATTAAATACCTTGGCAAGAAATCGTGATTGGTTTGGTCCAGGAAGTAGAATCATCATAACAACTAGAGATCAGCACTTGTTGAAGGGACTGAAAGTTAATGAAATAAACATGGCTATGGAATTGAATGACAAAGAGTCTCAGCAGCTTTTCAGTTGGCATGCCTTTGGCGAAACCAATCCATTAGAAAATTATGCAGATCTTGCAAATGGTATAGTAAGTTATGCTAGTAGGCTGCCACTGGCTGTTGAAGTTTTGGGCTCTTATTTGCTTGGAAGAAACGTGGTAGAATGGAAAAGTGCATTTGATAAATTACAACAAATTCCTCATGAGGAAATTCAGAAAAAACTTAGGATAAGTTTTGATGCACTAGGTGATGACAAAATAAAGGATATCTTCCTTGATATTGCTTTCTTTTTCATTGGAATGGACAAAGACTATGCCATTACTATATTGAATGGTTGTGGTTTCTTCTCAAAAATTGGAATTAGTGTTTTGATTGATAGATGTTTACTGAGAATTAGTCAAAATAATAAGTTGATGATGCATGATCTACTTAGGGATATGGGAAGGGAGATTATTTGTGAAAAATATCCCAAGGAGCCTAAAAAGTGCAGTAGATTGTGGTTTCATGAAAATGTATGCTATGTACTCGAAAAAAACAAGGTAAGGGTTGAATCTTAATTCTTTGGCTTTTGGGCTAAAATAGTACTAAAAGATAAAATATCACATCTAATCCATAATCATTTTATTTTTTCTTTCACAAATATCACATCTTAATTCTATAGTCTTTGTTCATTTTAATTTTCCATTTTGATTTTAAATATTACTATATTAGGGAACGGAAGCAGTCGAAGGTATGATCCTAATCCTACCCATTTTAAAGAACATACAATGGAGTAGTAAATCATTTGCTAGGATGCCTAACTTAAGGTTGCTTCAAATAAATCATGTGCACATCTGTGGAAATTTTGAACATCTATTTGAAGAGTTAAGGTGGCTCTATTGGCATTACTGCCCATTGGAGTATTTACCATCCAATTTTCATCCGGAGAAACTTGTTATTTTAGACATGCAATTCAACAAATTTAAAACACTCTGGACAGATGGGATTTTGGATAAATTCTTTGGTGGGATCATGATGAAAGAAAATTACATAATTTTGTATATTTTTTTCTTGGTTTTAACAGCATTTCAAGAGCTTGAAAATTTTAAATCTCAGTAATTCTAAATGCCTAACAAAAAGCCTCATCTTCTGCGCACTATCGATGCTCGAGGAATTATAGCTTGAACGTTGTACAAGTTTAATGGAGCTCCACGAATCAATCGGACTTCTAGATAAACTTGTTTACTTGAATTTGAAAGATTGCATGAACCTCAAGTATCTTCCAGGCTATATCTGCAAATCTCACTGGTTGCGCAAAACTAGAGGAGTTTCCAGAGCACTTGGGACGTATGAAAAGCTTAATAGAGCTTCTTACAGATGGAACAACCATTAAACAACTACCTTTCTCTATTGGATTACTGAAGAATCTTAGGAAGTTATCATTGAAGGGATGTAATAGGCAATTCAAGACTAAATCCTAGTTTTCTCTCATTTCATCTTGGGTTTTATCAAGAAAAAATGCCAACTCCATAAGATTTTTACCATCCTGTATTTCAAGTTTGTGTTCCTTAACGAAGTTATATCTCAGTGATCGCAATTTGTCTGAAGGAGATTTTCCAGCTGATCTTAGGAGTTTATCATCCTCATTGCAAGTGTCGGATTTAAGCGGAAACAATTTTCGTAGCCTACCATATGGCTTCAGTCATCTATCCAAACTAGAAGACATTTCGTTGGATAACTGCAGAAGTCTTCAATCTATCTCAGATCTTCCACCTAATTTATTTACAATATCTGCTATTAATTGTCCATCACTTGAAAAAGTATCTGATCTATCAAAATTGAACAGTCTAAAAATGTGGTTGGGTAACCCCCAATTGCTGCATTCTCTCAAATCGTAATAAGGATGAAGACTATTTTCACTGTTTTCTAAGTGCACGAACCATCATTCCCTTGGACAGGCTCAACAATTTTCAAACTCCCCTTCAGGTCTCTCTCTCTCTCTCTCTCTCTTTCTCTCTCTCAGGTGCAACAATTTAACAAAAAAAATATCTTCGAAAATTAAGTGAAATGTGTGAAACCAAATTTATTTTATATGTGCCCTGTAAAATATCATAGGAGGAGGATTCCATCCAATTCAGATTATATGGATTGGAGGATGCTATTTAGGTTTGTGGAATCAATCATGGGGTCCACCACAAATTCTGTTTTGATAATTTGAATTTTTCATTTAATCAGACACTCCGTGTATTTCATTTATAAAGCAAAATTTTATATCGATCCGATAATCATAATACTATTCAATTTATTAAATTTGTCACACAAAAAAAGAAGATGACAATTGTGTTTTTAAAAATAAATAATATATTTTTTGGTGACAAACGCAATAAATTAAATAGATTATGATTATCAGATCGATTTAATTTTTGTGTGAATGAAATAGATGAAGTGTTCAACAAAATGAATAATTCAGATTATAAAAACGGAATCTGTGGCAAGTCCCACGAACCTAAACAACACCAGCGGACTAGAGAAGAGTTGCTTCTTAGATATGGAAAATAATATCTTACTTGTACTAAATTTTTTATTCAAAATATTTTACTTGAATGATGTGACAGTAACAATTTTTAAAATAGGATTTACTAGTTGTTTTTATTGTTTTTATTACCAGCAACATGATAATATATTAGATGATTATATATCACATGTTTATATCATCTTTTTATATCACTAACCTACTTGGAAAGATGTCATTTGTTTGCATTAATTTGTTAATAATCATCTTCAAATAAGAGAATTAATTATAAGTATGACATAAAATAATGATAAATACTCAGTTATATATAGCATTTTTCTATGACAATATGTTATTTGTTTTCATTAGTTTCTTAATAATTATCTCTAAATAAATGAGCCAATTATAAATTTCCATGTAGACAATAATACAAAAAAATGATAAAAACATATGTGACATATCTAACATTTCTTTTTTCAAATATAAATAAGTTTTTTAATTCTAAATGATAAAATTAAAACTTGCCACTGTATTAATTTGATGGAAAAATAATGTCAAACAAGATTATGGGGATACACAATAAACAACATGCAATAATCTTAATTATACGTATCACATGAAAAGAGTAGAATTCATCATAAATTATACAGTTTTACTCCCAAATTATGTTACCTATATTTTATGTAATTGATTTTGTATTCACAAATTTATTTTAATTATTTTCGTCTAGCAATCTAATAATTAGAAATTCATATGATAGCATCTTCATGACAAGATGTTCGACCATTTCTATCCTGGTAACTTCAACAATGTTTTCAGTTATAACATAATAGGATCTTCTTCAATATTTTTAGAAATGCCAGTAGTGCAAGGGGAAGGTGACTACGTTTCAGGGTTTCATGTGGGAATTGTTTATTATAAAGTTGAGGATGAAGAAAGCTACTCCATGAAATTAGATGATTATACGTGATTATTACTGATAAAATTAATGGCATTGATTTTACTTATATCCCAGACTTCTTCGGCATCCCTAAAAGTAGTGGAGATATTATTATTAGCGCAGCCATATAATAGTTGGAGCATATTTTGGGTGTAGAATTAAAGGTGGTGAGCAATTCCAACTTTCTTTCATTATGCCATCACCTTTAAAGTAAAGCAGTGTGCGACAAGTCTAATTGTCCATTATAACAGGTATATCATATATGAACCAATTAGTGCAGTAACTAGTGTACCAGTTGATGATGTGGCATAATTTAAGAAGTTTTTGAAATTTGTAATGTGATTAATAAGTATGATTAATAATAATATCATAACTAGTGTTGGTATACTAATTAGTGCATGTAGAAT